ATTAGTTTCCATAGAAACCACACACAGTCCTGTCCTTGCTCTGTAGCTTGCCTTTACCCTAATAATAAAAATTAGTGGCTTGGACTGACCAATGGCTGTTCTGGATGAGCAGGATTGGTCATCCTGGCTCCCAGGTTTCTTTGTTTCTTTAGTTCTTTCAGTTTTTTTTCCACCTGTACACAGTACCAACAAGCAGGAGATCAGAACCTACCGCAGAGGTCTCTGATAAGTATATATTTTTGTGTAAGAGCTGCATGTGAACCTTTTAATTTTTAAAAAAATATCAAGTGAACAGAGCATTGATATCATTTGGAATCAAAGCAATGATTTTTACACATTTTCACTTCACAATCTGTATTATAAATGAAAGTAGTATAGAATCCCTTATATTTCTGAGAAAGGATTATTAATTATTTGTTAGCATGCAGCCCCTTTAAAAAGGACCTTGATAACAGGTCTTGCCATCCAATGGAAAAGATTTTACCTGCCAGGGGGAAGACATTATTGTGTCCCTATTTCCCACTGGATTCACAACAAATTGCTGTTGTGAATTTGGGCTTGGGCCACAGCACACACAGCATTATGTGTGTTGCAGCTCCCATCACTCATTGTCAGGTAAAAATGATTCACAGGCAGCCCTGCCAGAGAGGCATTAGGTGTACATTTCCTCAGTGAGCAAGCAATCAGAATCAGATACTGAGCAATGAAAATTCTGGAACCAATACAGAATGAGGAAAGTGTCTTGTGGGTACTTGGAGGGGTTAGCAGTGTAGATAAAATTTTTAAAATCTGGAATTTCCTTATGGTGGTGTGAAAAAATGAGAGTCCCATGGAATGAGTCACGTATCAAATTTCTGCCAGCCACATCAGCATGCCATTGTGAGTTTGTGACCCAGATCCTCCAGGTCACTAAATATTGCCCTATCTGGTAGTTTATATCATTTAGACTCTCAGGATCATAGTAAATGACAACTACAATTACTGGTGATGTTTCTCTGGTCAGGAAATCTAGTTTCTGTGCAGTTGACAGATACAAGTCAAGAAAATTTGAGATCATTTTCACAAATGCTATGCAGACTCTGCTCCTGTCCATCTCTGTTCTCACATCTGAGAGGAACTGAAGACCTCTGTGACCTTCTGTGATGACCAGTCCCACCCAGGTCCAGCTGAAATGAAGCATCAGGGAGACCATGCCAAGGGCCAGAGATGTGTCCTTTGGGGCCACTTGATAGAGAGAAGAAAACTGGGCTCTGTCACTGAATGTGGGATCAAAGGAGCCAAAGGTAAACTAATAGAAAAAAAATTGAAGTGATGTAAAGGGGGTTGACAGAAAGCACAAAATTAGATCTGAATGGTGTTAAGCAACCGCTGGAAATAGTATAAGGAAACACTCACTCCTCTCATCTATGTAAGTATCTCATCCCTAAAGCCTTATTTTTGAAAATAACTGTCCAGAAGCTGAGTTCAAGAAAACTGCTTTCCTTCCCTGTGTCTCTCCTCTCTGCTGCAGGCAAAGAAAATTTGGGGAGTTCACCAATCTTTGTGTATTATACTCTGAGATCATAGAACTTTAGTGATGCATAAACCCAGGCTTTTCTCCAATATAAGGAACCTGAGAAAGTCAACAAATGTGACATTGTTTTAATCCTATCACACCCTCCCTCACCTGTGGAAACTTATAGAGTTCCAGCAGTGTTCCAGTTTTACCAGTGTTTGCCCAGGATGTTCCTGTTAGTACTGCTACAGACTTGCTCTCTCCAGCAAGTATAGTTAGGCATCTCATCCTGTCCTGTGTGCAAAATAAAGAAACTCTCCAGTAGCCACCAATGACTGTAATGTAAATTATGGATCTCATATCCCAGGGATATGTTGGGTAAAAGGTGAGGATTCCTGCTGAATCTCTTCAATGGCAAAAATCAAGGCTGGAACATTCCTGTAGTTGTTAGGCATGAGCCTGCATAAAGAGCAGTCAGATCCTTACAGACATAAGTCAATGATTACATTCCAATCTACTACGGTGCCATTTATGAATTAAATGCCTTAACCTCCCCACACTTTCATACCCTAAGCCCCTAAACCTACGTGTAGTGCCATTAGAATGCTGGTTTGGTGAGGTAATAATATTAAGTAAGATTATGAATTTGGATTTCTCATGGTGTTTAATGTGCCTACAATGAATTAGAATTAGCTTGCTTGACCCTTCTGGCATGTGAGGACATATTGGCATGTCTGCCAGTCATCAACCAGAAAATAGATGCTCTCTTAATTTCCTACCTTGAAAAATTTCTAAATATATTTAATTCTTGTTTCAGACATGTAGTTTTTGGACTATTACTATAAAGCAATCTGATTTAATGGTACTCTACATGAAGATGCAACCCCAGAAGTCAGAATCCTCTGACACGATGCAAAATGCATGTATTAATTTGCTTAGAGAACTAATGTAACCAATACAGTAATTTTTTTTTGGTACTGGGGATCAAACTCGGGACCTTGAGCCTGAGAGGCAGGTGGCGGAACAACTGACCTAGATCCCCGGCCCCCAATACATCAGTTTCATTTTATTTTATTTTATTTTTTGGTACTGGGGATTGAACTCTAGGCAGAACCAATATTGTCATAGTGGCCATACTGCCAAAATTGTTAGACACATTCAATGCAGCCCCAACCAAAATACCAACAGCATACTTCACCGATCTAGAGAGAACACCCCTAAAATTCATATGGAGCCAGCAGAGACCCTGAATAGCAAACGCAATCTTGTGCCACAAGAGTGAAGCAGGACACCTGACAACATCTGAGCTCAAGCTATACTACAAAGCAACAGTGATTTTATTTTATTTTTTAAAATTTTATTATTTTTTTTAACAGTGATTTAAAAAAAACAAAAATCGCACAATACTGGAACAAAAACAGACTTTGAATTTTCCTTAGTGGGTTTAGTTGAGATTCTAGATTTCTGGATTCATTTACTTCTCCTAGGTAGGTAAGTTTTCAGGCATAATTTTCTGAAATGTTCATTCCTTCCCTACTTGCCCTCTATATTTTCTGACAGTAACACATGCATATATGCCTCAGTTCACTGGCATCTCACTGGTACTTTGAACTCTTTCCATTTTTCCTCATTCTATTTTCTCATTGTTCTAAATTTAATAATTTTGATACACGTACCTTCAAGCTCACTAGTTATTTTTCTCATGCCTTGATTCTGCTATAAGCCCTTGTAGTGAATTTCTCACAATAGTTATATTTATCTGACCACAATTTTCCTTTAGTTCCATTCATAAATTTACATCTTTATATTTTCATTTTCACCAAATTTCTTCACTGTTTTAGGCCATGCATTCTTTTGCCACTTTGAAGAAATTTATAGCAAATGTTTTGGACATTTTTTCTAGTACATGTAGCAACTGGGCTTTGCCAGGGAGGGTTTCTATCAAGTTATTTTGTTTCTTTGAATGAACCATATTTCTATTTGTTTGCTTGCATCGTGCTAATCTCTGGAAAAGCAGAAATCCCAATATTAGAATGTCGTTATCTTGGAAACCAGGTCTTTATCCTTACACTACTGCTGCTCCATTTCTATTCATTTCCTGAATTGCTGTGGGATATCTCTGAGCCTCTGAACAGCCAGATCAAGAATGTATTGAATTTTCCAAATTCTTCTTAGTTGTGCCTTTCTTGCATGTTTATACTTTCTCATTTCGTCCATTTATGTGATTAGTTTTGCATTAACTCATCCTTGCTGTCTTGTTCCCAGGAGAAAAAGAGAAAATGAAGGGGAAATGAAAGTAGTTAGCCTTTTAAATCCCTTGGAACTCACATCAGACAGAGGACAGGAGCCTTCTAGCAATGGGGTGACATGCATTAATCATGACCCCACCATTACAAATGAGAAAGGAGAGCAAAGGTCCCAGCAAAGCAGGGGCACAGTTCTTTTTCTCACTCTGACCCCCCTCATCTGCCTGCGAGCTGCTTCTTAAAAGTCATGCAGTTGCCTTCCATGGAGTGGGGACTGGGGCGTGGGTAATGGCTACTTCTCTAAGAATGAAATGGAGTAAAGTTGAGCCCGAATTATATCTAATTCCTTTTTAATCAATTTTATTGGTACATTTTTGACATACATGATGATCATAAATTATATCTAATTCTTCTGTAGAAATTATAGGCTTTAGTAGGCTCCACAGTCCCAAAACACACTCATCCAAAAAAGTCTTATGCTGAAATTGTATTCAAGGTGAGGAGGCAGATTGCTTATGATTCCCATCCTGCCATCTTCCCTGACTGTTGTGCACTGTAATTTAAAATTAACCTGATATTTGGGTCTCGTGACACCAAGTCTCCTTATTTCCATTTCACTTAGTCATACTGCTTTCTCTGTGTAATTTTTTTCATTGCACTTTTCAGAATACCCGATGTATAAGATCACTGCTTTTACTATTTTGTTACAACCTACGAAGAATCTAATCCAGAGAAAATGAGAACAAATTGAACAGTGTTGCCTTTACTTCAACCATCTTTTATTCTTTACATACTAGCTGTGGTCCTCACTGCACTCATGCTGTAATGCGTACATATGGAGGAAATCTGTGAAGGCCAGGCTAAGCACTCCTCTGGGTCATCTCCTGGAGAAAGGCTTTATGAATTTCACAGTTTCTTCAGGTGAGTATCTTTTTTTTTTTTTTTTTGGTACTGGGGATCGAACTCGGGTCCTTGCGCTTGCGAGACAGGCGATGGAACCACTGAGCTAAATCCCCGGCCCTTCAGGTGAGTATTTTAAAGTAAGAATTTCCCTCAGAGAATATTAAGGCAAGGAAGTGAGAGTTTCCATGCTGGGAGGAGGGAGCTCAGGGCATAGTGAGCTCCTGGATTTAAATTTCTCTGTGCCTGAGTCTCAGCACCAGGGACTGATGTTGTAGGTGTTGTACCAAGCGAGTCAGTAAATCACCAAACACTGGGACAAACGATAAAGTTAAAATTGAAAGGAGTTTATTCACGGGTGTGGACTCCACCCTCTAGTAGAGTGAAGCCCCGAGGCAGGGAACGGCACAGTTTTTATAGGTTGTTTAAACAGAGACGTTCAAGGGGGTCAACATGTTCTTAACCAGTTGCAAAATATTTTTCATAACTCAGCTATCTTGTCAGGTTAGGACATTTTGTGGTTACAGGGGGGCACCTGGCACCACCCGTTTCTGAGAAGCGATGAAGCAAGTTTACAGAAGCAGAACGAGCAGTTACAAACGACATCTTTACGGGAATTCCAGCACTCTCTAAGGGGAGGGGTATGAGGGGAGTTTACTCACAGGCCAAGATGGCGTTTCTTAGGTTTACTTTGGGCTCACAGTAGGAGGCTCCATTTCAGCAGTCAGGCTGGCTGTGAAGCTTGGTAGGAGAACCTTTCGTTGAAGCTCTGAATGAATGTTTTGTGTTTTTTTTTGTACCAGGGATCGAACTCAGGACCTTGTATTTGTGAGGCAGGCGGCGGCACCACTGAGCTAAATCCCTGGCCATGATCGCAGGTTTTTGTTCTACCACCGGACAAAGGAGATTTCAAGTGGATCAAATATATACTTATTTCCCATTTCGATTGCTTTCCAGGGTATTTCTGTCAAATATCCAGTTTCTTTATAAAGTTAACAATCATATCCATTATTGAGATCCGTTCATTTTCTTCTCTGAAAATGGGTCAATTGATAGCTGAGGTCTGAGGCAGCCGTGGTGGCCATGGAAACAACAGCCTGAGGCCCAGATGGAGAAGTGTGACGTCTGGCAGTCCCCACTGTTCCTGTCCTGTCTGAGGTCAGGACTTGTCTCCATGGGGCACTGAGTCAGTAATTCCCTGGGCTTACTTGCCACCACTTCAAGGAGATGTAACAGGAAGGGTCCTCTGACTACACGAAGAAGGCAGGGCCCACTCTGGACAGCCAGGAGCGAGTTCAGCTTAAATACAACTGCCCCAGAGGCTGTGCCAGGTCCCCCTGTCCCTTGAGGAGACCTGAACTGGGAAAGGCTGGGGCTGGAAACTGCCCCAGGCTCCTGCAGCAAGGCAAGTAATCCCTTTCCTGTCACTAAGGGGGCAGAGGGCGGGATCCGCCGCAGTAGCCAATCCGAGGCGCGCGCCGGCGTTGAGACGTGCGCTGGTGGGAGGAGCCGCTCCAGCTCGTGGCGTCTTTGATCCGCGTTCGCGAGTTGAGGTCCGTTTCCTCCACCTGTGCGCTGTGGGAAGCCCAGGAGACTCCGCACTGGAAATGGTGAGTTGCGAGTTGAGCTCCCCGTGGCCTCGTCCTCGCCTAGGCGTCCGCGCTGGCCCTGCGGTCCTGAGGGGCGCGGCCGAGCTCCTGAGCCGGTTGCCGGGTCCTTGCGGCCCCGCGCATGCGCGGTGTAGACGGGGACGCGGGGTGCGGGCGCTGCCGAGAGCCAACGTCAAGCCCGGAAGTTGCCCGGAGTCCCCAGGTTCCTAGGCGGCCGGAAGCGGGGTTCTCGGGTGTAGAAAGGAGGGCGGGACCGCTTCCGCTGGGCCGTACCGGGCTGGAGCTGGAGTCTCCTGGCCCAGGGTGAGCTGACCCCTGAGGTCAGCTTGTGTTGGGGTGACCCCCGAGAAGGGGTGGGGGGGGGCTCAGGGGCAGGGGGAACCGGGCGTGGGAGAGGAGAGGTTTGAGGTGAGTTTCCGTAAACAAGTGTGCTGTTCCTACTGATTAACTCATCTTTCTTTATCACCAAAAATGGGAAACTGGGAAATGTGTGTTTGTCCACGTTAAAAATGGGCCGTTGTCTAAGGGTGATGAGAATGGTGTTTCTTTACTGTCGTCCGCTTTTCTGGAATAGAGTGTTGTGAGGCGGCAGTCCCCTAAATAATCGCCGTTTAGGAGCCGGCTCTGGTGGCACACACCTGTAACCCCAGCACTGCAGAGGCTGAGGCAGGATTACAGCGATTTCGAGGCCAGACTGAACGACATAAGGAGATTCTCTCTCAAAAAACCAAAAAATACATGAAATAGAAACAACTGTTTAGCAGTAGTACAGGACTTGAGTAAAAGTGAAACTCTTCAGGTGGCTTTTTTTCGTCCACAAGTTGATGAAATCAGTGTAGTTTGTGCCAATTGAGAAAACTAGTGAGCGTCTGACTCAGAAAAAAGGACCTTTTGTTCTCTGTTGCAAAAAGGGCCCATGTTGAGAATTTATTAGGTCATTGCCCACAGTTTCTTGCATTGGATCCTAAAATACTGACTGTCTTGGGTGGTTCATGACATCTCCTTTCACATAATCTGAATGTAAGGCGATGAGGCGGTCGATGTTGCAGTTCGGGGATTGGTGAGGAGACAGAACAAGCACCTGCTTTGTACAGGAAGCTGCAGTAGGTTCCTGGTGATGGGACCTGATCCCGAACCTGTGTGATCTGTGCTTACTCCGAGTGGTGTTGTAATTGAGTTTTTGGACACCCAGTTGGTGCTGGGGATTTGGTTGATATTCAGCACACAGCACACATTTTGTGTCAGCGATGATGTCAGAGAAAGACACCATAGACGAGGCCCTTCAAGTGACTAGTGGCACTTTGATGAATACTGAGAAAGGAGGCCCTCGAGGAACGAACCTCTTCTACTGAGAAGGGGGCATGAAGGGCCTCACTGAACTTGTTTGGTTGACCAAGTTTCCCTCACTTGCTACCTGATTGAGCCAGATTGCCCTACCTCTCCTCTGGGGAACAGGAGCACCAGTGTGGTTCTAAGTTCTGAATGTGGTTTGTTTGTCAAGTGTGGGTGAAGTTGGTTTTCTTGACCTGTCATCCTTTTATTTCATTGGTAGAATCTTATTGCCATAAAATTCCACTTTATAAACCATTCCAGAAATTTATTTTGGGACTTATGTGTTAGAATATGATTTTCTTGGTCAGAATTTGAGTGGTTTAAGAAAGCTTTGAAGTATCAAAGAATTATTTAAGTAAAATATTTGTGAACACTAATTTTAATGACTGTGTACTGATGATATGTGATCATAATATACAGTGAATGTTTAAATTTAGAAAAATTTTTACATAAAAGACGCGTTGCTATCAGTAACCTCCAAAATATACCCCCTTGGTTTGAACACTTATCTCATAGTTCTTGCCACTTTCTGAAGGAGTTCTGGAAACCTCCTTTTGTATGTTTTTATTTGTACTTTTATGGCTGTGTTGATGTCCTTCCGAAAGTTTTACTCTTCATGAAAAAAGCTAATGTTTACCCTACATTGGGAACATCTAAAGTTGCATGGTGGTGCCAGATCTCCCAAATGAGGGCACATTGTAGTGTTTTTTTTGGGTACTGGGGATAGAACTCGGGTCCTTGTGCTGGCGTAGCAGGCGGCGAAACCACTGAGCTAAATCCTAGTGTTTTTACAATCTTGCCTTTCTATTAGATGGTGCTCAGCAGAAGCATTCACTGTAGTTTTTTTTTTTAAATCATACTTTGTAAAAGACATAGAAAGCTGGGCGTGGTAATGCACCCCTGTAATCCCAGCACTTGGGAGGCTGAGGCAGGAGGATTGCTCTGAGTTCAAGGCTGGCCTGGGCTACATAGTGAGTTTGAGGCCAGCCTGAACTACATAGCAAGACCATGTCTAAAAAAAAAAAAAAGACATAGAAGAAGACTTACAGTACTTCTTCAGAAAGTGGCAACAATGATGGGATAAGTATGTTTGGATTTTAGAGGGGGATAAATGGCAATGTGTCTTTAAGTGTAATAAAATTTTTACATTACACATTCATTTTGATCACCCCCTGTATACAAAATTGCTCTCACCCAAGTCACAAGTGAATACAGACATTTCTTGTTTAAAGATGGAGTTACATTCCTGTGATGAGGTCCTTAAATAGCTTCATCACTTCATTAGGAATTGTATACAGTATGTACATTAAAATATTCAGGACAAAGAGATGGGGCAAAGGAAACTCTAATTTGCTTTCTTTGCTTTTAACTCTTATATGCAGTAATGTATAACAATATAAAACTATAGTACTGTACAGTACAATCAGCAAAAATTACAGTACTGTATAAACAAGGTGAGCTACTAAAAAAGACACTAAGGCTCTATAAACAAAATGTACAGAACTGTACCCCCAAAAAGCAGGTTTTAAGTCTAAATAGCCCCTGGTAACTTCCTGTATGTCTCCTGATTTCATGTACCCTTGCAATACATATCTGCACATTATTTTACATGCTTCACCTTGTTGCCATCTAGTTACCATGAAGTTTTACTTGATTCCTGTCTCTTTTGAATTTTGGAAGCATTACAGTGCAGCATTGATACTATGTTTGAAAGACTTTTTGTGGCTCCTTTGCCTCATTCTGTTGCACATCTGATGGTTGATGAAACTGTGTAATTCGGTCAGTTGATTCACTCATTCCTCTGCTTAGGAGATCTGGAGTTTTTTTTTTATGTTGTTGTTAGTGTGATTTTGGATTTTGTCCTCATGTGCTAATGCATCATATTTTTTTTTCAAAATGTGAAAAAGTTGCTGATTTGTAAATTTTTGATAGCTTCAATTTAGTAGGAAATGTTAACAAGTATGTGGATTTACTATGTGAGCTTTCATAAATTTGTAGGTTTCTTTATTTTTTTAATTTTTAAAATTTATTAATTGGTACATTTTAGGTATACAATACATTTACATTTATCATTGGGTATTTGTACCTGAACATGATGTATCTTAGTTCTTATTTTTTCCCCCATTACCTATGCGCCCTTTACCCCCACCACCCTTCCCTATTTACATAGACTTTGTTTCCATTTTTTTTCTTTCTCATTATTTTTCCTTTCCCTTCTTCCCTTTCCCCTTCCCCTTCCGCCATGTAGGGTTCTTTATTGAATGAATTGTCACACTTGGAATGTTCTAATTTTTTTTTGTCCTTTTACTGTTAAAGAAGTCCCCATGTGATTATATATTGCTTCATATGGATTACCACTAGTGTTGAGTACTATTTCCTATTTGAGGTTTCAATTTCTGTGGAATTATTTCTTTTTCATCCTTGAATCACTATGCATGTGAATGAATAGGCCAGTGTAGCAGCCAGCTGTTTGTTATCACTGAAAGCTGTAAAAGGTTCACCATCATTGATGTGGTCACTTCAGGTGTTTCTTCTTGATCTTATCTGCCCTGAGAGATACCTGATCTCACTTACCTAATAACCTTTTTTTTTTTAACCTCAAATCCAATTCATCATTAGTCATATAATAGCAAAATGAGGACATTTGTAAATTGACTTAGTGTTCTATGAAATTGCTACCCATGTCTCATTGCTATCAGGATATTTTGTTAGTTCTTTGGGATTTCTGTATAATCGGTCATGTCCTCTGCAAAAAGATAGTTCCTTTTCCTCTTTTTCAATTTCAATAGCTTTTTTTCTCTTTTTTGCCTTACTGTTTTTCTGCATCTGTTGACTTGTGAAACCAACTGTTTGCAATGCCTTATGGAAATAAAAGCAGAGGGAATACTTAAAATTTTGTGCCATGAAGTAATACTGCAATAATCCCAAAACCACTGTAAGTACTATTGAAAACACCAATACAAAACTCACTAATAATATCGATTTCCATTTAACAATCTCCATGAAGGATTATACACCAAAACTAAGTAGCATTTACTGTATGTATATAAGACCAAATAAAGATTTAAAAGGCAACTGCTGTCATCTCTCACCTCTACCAGCTTTAAAAACCCGCTTTTATTTCTGTAAGGCATTGCAAACAGTTGGTTTCATTTCTTCCTTAAATGTTTTTGCAGAATAAACCATTGAGACCATATATCCCTGGTCATTCCTGTTTTAGTTACTTCTTCTTGACTTAATTTCTTAAGTGCATTTCATTCTGTTTCTGTTACCTCTCTTGGTATCTCTTGGAAGCTTGTCTCTTCCTAGGAATTGCTTCATTTCATGCAGGTCACTAAAAAAATGGTGAGGTATGTAATTGTTCTAATAGTCCTTGTGGCTCTTTTAATATCTGTGTTATTAGTTTCAACAACCTCGCATTACTGACATTGGGAATTTGTGTGTTTTCTCCTTTTCTGTCATCTTGCGTAATTGAGGCTCATCAATTCTATTGATCTTTTCAGGGCAGTCAGCTTTCATTTGTTGATTTCCTCTGTTGTTATTTTGTCTGTAATTTCACTGATATTTTTGCTAATATTGCTACCCTCTACTTGTTTTTGCAATTATCTTGCTCCTCTCTCTCTTGGCTTTTCTAAAGTAGAAAAGTAAATTAGGCCTGGTAGTGCATA